TTTTTTTTCAAAATGCTGACTGGTATCTCCATAAATGAAGAACAAAATATGAAGCAATTTTTTTTTTTTTTTTTTTCAAAATGCTGACTGGTATCTCCATAAATGAAGAACAAAATATGAAGCAATTGGAAAATTTCAGTTAGACTTGAGGAACCACCACCACCAGTTGCTATTGAGTCGATCACACGTGTGTCAGATTAGAGCTGTGCTCCATAGGGTTTTCACTGGCTGTTTTTTTTTGGAAATGAATCTCCAGGCCTTTCTTTCACAGCTACTCTTGGTGGACTTGAACCTCTAATGTTTCCGTCAGCAGCCAAGTATGTTATCATTTCCCAGAGTCGCTCATGGGAAATCCTTCAGAAAGTGACAGCAAGTCAGATACTTTACTGCATTTTTACACAAATAACACACAACTTCTACTTTGTTTGCCAACTATGCCCTCCCCCTGCAAGATATTTTAGTAAGTGCACTATGCTAATTATTTTCAACAACATATAAAAGAACAATTGGCATGTGCACTTAATGAAAATGCTTCTCCGGAGGAGAGTGTGGCTGGCAAACAAATGTAGAAGGTACATGTTATTTTTATAAAAATACAGTATATGTCCATCTTTGGTAGATGGCCCTCTTCAGCTTCTCCTCACTTTTTAATAAAAGTCTTGTTGCTATCTCCTCATCATTACCCCATCAACACATAGAAATTCACAGTTTAATATCTGGTGAGAAAATATTTTTTATCCAAGTAAGTATAGATGAAGTAAGGAAAACAACGCTGGTGTTAAAAACCAAAAACCAAACTCACTGCCACTGAGTCAGTTCTGACTCATAGTGACCCCCATTGGGTTTCCAAGGCTGTAAATCTTTATGGAACCAGGCTGCCCCATCTTTCTTCCATGGAGCAGCTGGGGTTTCAAATCACTGACTTTTTGGTTAGTAGACAAGTGCTGTAACCGCTACACCACAAGAGCTCCTTTAGAATCATGCAGAGGTCCTGAAATGATTATGGTTGCTAATGTTTATCATGCTAACTATGTACTAAGCTTCACATGCATTTTTCTTATGTAACTAACTCATACACCAGCTCTATGACATAGACAGCATTATTGACTCCATTTTACAAATGAGGGAACTGAAACACAGAACCCAAAACCAAACCAAACTCACTGCCATTGAGTCGGATCCAACTCATAGAGACCCCTCCTTGGGCTTCCGAGGTAGTACCACTATGGAAGTAGATTGCCTAATCTTCCTTCTGAGGAGTAGCTAGTGGGTTTAAACCACCAGCCTTCTGGTTAGCAGTTAATGCCTTAGGCACTGCGCCACCAG